GTCGGGTAGGCAGTGATGGCAGTGAAATCCTGCTGGGGCGTGCGCGACGAGCAGAGCAGCTGCTGGCTCGCCGCCGCGTTGACCTGCAGCACCCTCGCCGAGGCCGTCGCGAGCGAGGTGGCCACTGCGAGGAGCTCATCCCGCTTCTTCGCGCTACAGGGCAGCTCGGCGATCGCCACCGCGAGCTCGGCGGAGCCCTCGGCGGCAATGAACGTCTACGACTGCATCATGGACGACGCCACGGCGGCCTGGGCATTCAGGAGCTTCTGCCGCGCCTCGCCGCCCTTCGGGAGCTTCGCGAGGAAGCTGGTGGCGGCCCTTAGCTGCGCCAGCAACTCTTGGACGTCCGACATCGCGATCTGCGCCTGCAGCCGCGCGAGCGATCGCAATCGCTACCCTCGAGCGATCGCCGGCAGCTCCTACGCCACAAGGCGACTGGAGGGGAGGGCGCGCCGCGCTCCGCGGCACGCTGCTCCCGCGGCGCCGATGGGCGCCCAGCGCGTGGCTCGCGACATGCGCTACACCGCGCGCGCAGACAAAACGGCTGCAGCACAGACGTTCGCGCACAACGCGACGCCCCACTACCTACCTCAAGCGATCGCCGTCGCTACCTCCCTCGTCAACTTCCCTCTCCTTTCCCCCCCAAGCGATCGCAATCGCTACCCACAATCTTCCCGCAACCTTCCTCAAGCGATCGTTACCGCTATCTCCCTCATCACCTTCCCCCTCCTCTTCCTCCCTCAAACGATCGCAATCGCTACCCTCTATCATCCCACAACCTTCATCAAGCGATCGCTATCGCTACCTCCCCCCATCAACTTTCCTCCCCCCCTTCATCCATCAAGCGTGGGCAATCGATGCCCTCCATCATCCCACAACCGTACTCAAACGATCACTATCGTTATCTCCCCCAGCAGCTCCCTCGCCTCTTCCTTCCCTCAAGCGATCACAACCGCTACCCTCAATCACCCCACTACCTTCCTCAAGCGATCGCAATCGCTACCCTCCATCATCCCGCAACCCGCCCCACGCTAACGCTATCGCGATCTCCCCCAACAGTTTCTCTCACCTCTGCCTTCCTCAAGCGATCGCAATCGCTGCCCTCTATCATCCCACAACCTGCCTCAAGCGATCGCTACCGCTAGGTCCCTCATCAACTTCCCTCCCTTCTTCCTAGCAAGCGATCGCAATCGCTACCCTCCATCATCCCACAACCTTCCTCAAGCGATCGCTATCGCCACCTCCCACATCAACTCTCCTCTCTTCTTCCCCCACATAGCGATCGCAATCGGTACCCTCCATCATCCCACAACCTCCCCCGATCGATCGCTATCGCTATCTCCTCCATCAACTTCCCTCTCCCCCTCCTTCAAGCGATCGCAATCGCTACCCTCCGTGATCCCACAACCTCCCCCAAGCGATCGCTATCGCTATCTCCTCCATCAATTTCCTTCTTCCGTTTCTTCCTTCAAGCGATCGCAATCGCTACCCCCCATGATCCCACAACCTTCCCCAAGCGATCGCTATCGCTATCTCCTCCATTGACTTCCCTCTCCGTTTCCCCCCGCAAGCGATCGCAATCGCTACCTTCCATGATCCCACAACCTTTCCCCAGCGAACGCCATCGCTATCTCCCTCATCAGATTCCCTCTTCTCTTTATCCTTCAAGCAATCGCAATCGCTACCCTCTATCATCCCACAATCTTCTTCAAGCGATCGCTATTGCCATCTCCTCCATCAGTTTCCCTCTTCTCTTCCTCCTTCAAGCGATCGCAATCGCTACCCTCCATCATCCCACAACCTTCCTCAAGCGATCGCTATCGCTATCCCCTCCATGCTTTGGAGGAGAGGAGCAGGATGAGGTGGAGGCAGAACAAGGAAGATAAGGGAACAGGGGAGGTTTGTTTGCACGGTTTCATTTGCAACGGCGGCGCCCCGCGAACTAATTAGGCTGGGGGACCGATTCCAGGCGCGCGAGTCGCGGAAGGGGCCGAGTGGAGTATAGGCTTAAGTTATTCAGAAGTTCTAGTGAGTAGGGCTAAGTTACGCACTACAAGAACAACTAAGTTACTTTGTGCTATATAATAAGTAATTTAGCTCGCTGCCCAAAAGAACACACATACTTATAAGTAGCACAAGTGTACTTACATAATCCAGCAAACCCTTACATCAGTTACAGAGTTCTTACACAACGGCGCCACTTACACCAGAACAAACGTAGCTTCAGCCCAGCCACAACTAGTCCTTAAGTAGCATAAAAAGCGCTAGCCTCTAAGTGCTCGGGGCGAACAGCCGCCCCGGGGGAACGGGTCGGGGCTTCCGGTTACCCCGTGCATTGACAGAATCTAGGCGTCGTATGTCTGGGGTCGAGGTCCCCACCGTGTGGTGACCGCACGGTTTTGGGACCCGGGTCATTATCCGATGATGTCTCGAGCGATTGGGGCTTCCGGGGTCCCTCAACCGTGCGGTGACGGATCGTGCGGTGAGGGTTTTCGTGATTTTGAGGCCGCCCATTGGGTCACCCAAGGGCCAAGGGCTTCCCCAATTACTGGGACCAGGGCTTGAGGAGCAGATGTCCTCGGTCCTCGGGGGATGGGAAGGGAGCCAGAGGAGAGAGGAGGGGAGGACGGAGGAAAAGGGGGCTCAGCTTCCTTGTCCTCGTTCTCCAGATTGTTATCCTCATGCCCCTCCTCTGGACGCTGACGCGTGTATGCTTACATTGTCTTTCCGTCACTGGGGCCTTCTTTTCCCACTATTGTTCGTCCGCGTCCTTCTCCCCATCATCCACGTCCTTTTCGTGGTCAACCTCGTCCTCAGCCTCATCCTCTTCCTCTCTCTGATCCTCAACCCCAGTCCCCCCTCATCCTGCAGCCGTTTTGGCTCAAGTGATGCTCAGCTGCCCTGGACCCCCATGGAGCGGAAGCGCGGGATTCTGACGGGGATCCCGCTTGCACAGGGATGGCCTCGGAGAAGGAGAAGGATCAGTACGACTACCTCTTCAAGTTCATCATCATTGGCGATGCTGGCGCAGGAAAGTCGTGCCTGCTCCATCAGTTCATCGAGAACAGATATAAGAAGGGCTCGTCCCACACCATCGGCGTGGAGTTCGGATCCAAGATCATTCACGTCGGCGGCCGCAACATTAAGCTCCAGATCTGGGACACCGCGGGCCAGGAGCGGTACAGATCCGTCACGCGGAGCTACTACCGCGGAGCCGCGGGGGCGCTGATCGTGTACGACATCACGAATCGGGACTCCTACAACCACCTCGTGAACTGGCTGCAGGACGCCAGGACGCTCGCAAGGGCGGACACCTCCATCATCACCGTAGGCAACAAGTGCGACATGAAGGACAAGCGGGCAGTCACCTTCCTGGAGGCCAGCCGGTGCGCGCAGGAGAACGACATCCTGTTCCTGGAGACAAGCGCCCTCACGGGCGAGGGCGTGGAGGATGTGTTCATCAAAGTGGCGCGCGTAATCCTCAACAAGATAGAGGACGGCCTTATCGACCCCAACACCATGGTCTCGGGCACGCACACCGGCTCCCAGCGGATCGGCAGCGACAGCGGCGGCGAGGCGATGTCCTCCAAGACCTGTTCCTGCTGAGGCGGCCCGCTCTGGAGACCCTGAATTCGGTGTCACCCCAACATGCTAATACTATGTGTGCGTCGCCCCCCCCAGTGGCGACGCGCGGGCCGATACATCTTCTAGTGTAAGCTCCGTGGCGGGCGCTTCTGGCCGTATCTCGAGGGAAACGATTTATTTCAAGACGGTTATACGACATGTTCGTGTCGGGCGCACGCCTCCACGGAAGACATAGTACTAGTATGTCCTTGTGCGTCCCATGAATCCCCCAGAGTTTTCATCTCCCTCTTACTTTGCCACCTTCCGCCAACCCTCCGCCAGCTCCCACCGGCGAGCCCAGAGCCGTCTTAACCCCTGCCGGCTGACGCCGCCTTCCGCCGCGGAGGCCAGTGATTCTTATCGTTCGTCCCTCCGCCCTCACCTCCTACGATGATCCGCCTCCTCCTCCTCCTCCTCCTCCTCCTCCTCTTCCTCCTCCTCCTCCTCTTATCCTCCCCTGCTCTTCCGTGGCCATTTTGGCTCAAGTGAGCCGCTCTTCGGGAGGCCCTCGCAGCGCGCCGCTCGGGCGCGTGGCGCGCCAGAGGCCGTGGTGTCGGTGGGGGGCGCGGCTGGCGGCAGGCGCTGGGCTGCCGCGATCGCCCGCACCCTCGCCCGCAGGTTGCGGTGTGAGGCTCGCCGTGATGAGGGGCCATCATGGGCGGTTGCGCTGGTGGTGCGCGAGAAGGCCGTGCGTGCCTCCCTGCGCGAGCACTGGCGGCTGTGCGGCAGCTTCGGGGCGCATCTGCCCAGCACGGGCGAGGCGCTGCAGGCCGCCAGGCTGCTTCGGATGCCGCCCGACACCATCGTGCGGCGCGAGGTAGCGCTGCAGGAGGGGAATTGGGCCAGGCAGGCGCCTCCGCCTGGCGCGGCGGGCGGCCTGCCTCGCCCCTCTTCGGCCGCTGACGCCTTCACGCACGGGGGCTGGGACGCTCCAGCGGTCGAGCGCCTGCTGACAGGCGATGCGACGCCGCTCAGGGGCGAGGCCACCCCCTACACGCCCGTCTGCTCCGTGAAGGCGGACACGCTGCTGCAGGAGCTCGGCGTCGGCGGCCTTGCTGGCCTTGGGGCCCCTGCGGGGGATTGCTGCCCCGCGGATGGCGACGCCGCTGCTGCGCGGGACACCGCTGCCGCGCTGCACGTGGTTGGCCATTGCCCCGTCGTCGAGGCGGGCTCGGACGTGGTATTCGAGAGCGTTGCCACCCCGACTGCCCAGCCGAAGGAGCAGCTGGAGGCGTCGAAGCTGCAGGAGGGGATTCCCGCGGTCGAGCCCGAGCGGGTCCTGGAGGAGACCGTGGGCGTGTGCACGGCCGTTGACGTCGAGGTCGGCTCGGAGCTGGAGTTCGATGCCTGGAAGCGTCTGGTGAGCGGGTTCACCGATGACGGGCACCTTGTGGGCGTGCCTGCGAGGAGCCCGCCGTGCTAGTCCAGGCGGACACCATCGAGGAGCCTGCCGCGCTGCTCCAGGCGGACACCACCGAGGAGCCTGCCGAGCTTGGCCAGGCGGACACTACCGAGGAGCCCGCCGAGCCGGTCCAGGCGGACACTGCCGACATGCTCGCCGAGCTGGTCCAGGCGGACACCGCCGAGGAGCCCGCCGAACCGAGCTGGGGGCCCAGGGCGGCCGAGGTCGCGGAGAGCAGGGTCCTCACCAGCCAGAGCCGCCTCGTCGTCGAGCAGCTCTTCTTCAGGCTGTTCGCGCGTAGCCGCGTGATGAGCGTCTCGGTGCGTGCGAATGGCGAGCCGACGATCGGGCTCCCCAACGTCGGCGCGAGCTTGGATGACGTCGCTCTCCAGAGCGAGGCCGAGGGCATTGCCCTCGAGTCCGTGCGCGACTTCATGGGGAGCGCCCGTTTCTGGCAGGCCTACTCCTTGAAGGGCGCGTACCTCTTCCGGGTGGATGGCGTGGTCGGCGACCCCTGAGTGGCTGGCCTCTCGCTGGATTTGCCTCGGATTCCTGGCTGGCGGCCCCTTCGGCGCGTTCGGGGGGGTACGCCGCGGTTGGGGGCTCGTGCTGGCGCGCGTGCCTGTGTCCCCTCCTAGGGGGGGCGACCTCTGGGGCCGTCCCGTGGCCCGTCCGTCCCCGCGGGGTTGGCTTCCGTTCTCATGGCGTGCCCTTTGGGCAGGCCAGGGTCGTGAGTGATGCCTCTTTGGGCTTCTTCGGGGCCCTTCCCTCGTCGCCTCGGCGTCCGTGCGGCGGGCTCGCGGCGGCGCGGGCGCCAATCGACATCTGGGGCCTTGGCGGTCGTTTGCGCGCAGACGGCCGCCAGGGCCTCTTTGATGGGGGTCCATCCATCCATCCTCCTCCCCTGCTCGAGGGGCCAGCCAGGGCCGCCTACGATTCGATGCGATTCGATTCGAAGGCCAGGGCCGCGACTTCGATTCGACTCGATTCGGTTCAAATTTTGCCAGCATCGACCAGGGCCAGGCGCCGCGATCCGGCGTCGATCGGATTTGGGACGATTCGCTGGCGATGCGTTTCTGGTTCTAGCCGGTTCGCGATTCGGTCCCGCGTCGGCCCCCCCAGGGGGTGCGAAAGCGATCGCGCGCTTCGCGCGCTGCGGTCCGGGCCAGAGCAGCTGCCCCTCCGCGGGGGGCTCGAGGGCGAGTGGAGGCAGCGGCAGTTGGCCTGCGGGGGAGCCCCTGGTCGCCGCGACTGGGCGCAGCTCGGGATGGGGGCCGGGGTCCGCGGATGGGCTGCCGCTCCCTCGGCGCGCCCTTCTCCGAAAGGGGGTCGCCGCGAGGGTGCGACGAAGGCGATGATGGCGCGGCGTCGCCGCGCATCGTGGGGGCGTGGCGCACGAAAGAGGGCGGCGCAGGGGGCGCGGGCTGGAGGGGGTGCGCCTTCCCTGGGCCGTTCCGTCTCGGGGCGCCACTGGGCCGTCCTGAGTCGTCTTGGGTGGGGTCCTCTCGGGGCGCCCTTTGGGACGCGCTGGGCCGTCCAGGGGCCCTCTGGGGCGCCGCTTCGGGGCCCTCCTGGACGGGCGCTCGGCGAGCGCCTGGCGAGTGCTGGCCAGCGGGAAGCCCCAGATGGTGTTCCTGCGATCGCAGCGAACCGTGCTGGCAGATCAGCACGATCGACATGGGTACAGAAAGAACGGATACGAAGGCCGAGTGTCCTGTTCATGTTGAGCAGGACTGGCTGCCGGTGTCGCCACGGTCGTTGTGTTGCCCACTGTGGACAAACGGCCGCTTGCCCAACAGCGGCCGCTTTCGGTTCTGGACAGCATCTATTGTTGGGCATCATGCGCGTCGGTCGTTGGAAGTAGGTATTTCTGGATTCTCATATCCCAATATATTATAGGCGCCTTCCTGCTTCAATCGTCGAGAGGTCGTCCTTCCTCCTTCCTCTTGAGGGAGCCGGCGGAAACCCAATCTACTTCCAACGCCTTCCCACTGCATTTTTATACCCGACCGACGGGCTCACATGCTTCCCCTGCCCAGTTCGGGCGTCCACGGCAGGAGCTTCGTCGTCCAGCAATTCGTTGGTCGACTGGTTGTCCGATCCCTTCATCTTCCAACAAAAAGGGGCGGGGCGTCCCTCGCGGACGCCCCTCCCTACCGCGCGGCCCCCGCCATCGCGTCCGAGCTGCCCCACGGAAAGGTGCACAGGTGGGTGTGTAACGATTGTGCGGCGCGTGCGGCAAAAAGATACACAACAGGAAGGCGTGATCACATTAGAAACGTGATCGCACTAAATGTAGGTTCAGCGCAGGTTTGTCTCGCTATCTTCGGGAGGAAGGCCGGAATTAATATGAACATGCGGCTAGTGTTGTGGACGAGGGCGATGAGGAGGATGACAATGCTGAAATGTATGGTTCGCGTGGCCCCCCGTTTGGATGAATTGTTATTATGGTTATCGCCCCCCTCCATCCTCATTACCATACTCATTTATACTCCTCATCGCTGCCCCCTCCACCTGCTAACCATATCGTCATCATCATGTTCTTCTTCCGCCGTCTCATCATGACCACCGTTGCTGTACCCATCACAATCCTATCCCACCTGGCAATACCGGCCCCTCTACGTCATCCTCATAATCGCCAGCTCAATGACCTTTACCATCCTCTCCTCATCGTTCTCCACCTGCTCCTGATCCTGCTGTGTTTGATCCTCATAACCACCTCCACCGCCATACTCCACGTACTACTTATGCAGGCGAATGTCTTCCCCATCGCCCCCCATCTTACTCGCAAGTGCCATCGTACCCATCCACCTTATCCATTTGCTCCCCACCACCATCGTCATTTACACCAACAGCAAGCCATCATTATCTTTATTACACATATCCATCCTCATCAACACCAAGCTCGACCACATCAGCATCATCGCTATCCTAGCAATTGTATAAGGTACCACCATCCTGCAGCTGACCATCATTCATCATGATCCGTATCTCCACCTGGTTATTAGCATCCCCATTCCCCTTGATCAGCACGGTTTCATCACAATCGTTCCCCGAACCAGCTCCAGCTATTCATCATGATCGTCATCATTGTCAATCGCCTGGTCCCGTCTTCGTCCTTACCCTGATCATGGAGCATTTTTCTTTCAAGCAGGGCAACGTTAGCCAGCGTGGACCCCACGCAGAACACATGCCTGGCAATCTTCGCTGTGCAATATGCATGTACGCATGTACATGACGCAAGAGATGTTATACCCATTAGGTACATACGTATGTGCGTGGTGCAATGTATGTGGTGCGAGACCTGCGCTGCGCATTACACGTGAATTGATCTGTGTGGTGTAACTTGTTCTGAGCAGTAGATGCGACGTGCAATACATGTGGTGCAATCTAGATGATGCAATGTACGGCGTGGAGCCAATGGGGTACTATTTACGCGGTGCAAGCTAGGTTACGCAATAGATGTGGTGCAACCTGTGTGGTGCACATTCCATTTCGCGTCGAACTTGCCTGATGATTAGTGCATGCTCTTCCTGGCCGCCGAGGCGATGCAGAAGCCAAGGCACCCACGGCGATGCAGGTCTGGCCTTGTGCCAGAACCATCCGTCGAAAGGCCTCCGACACTCGGCGCGTACTCCAATACATGTGGTGCAACCAATGTGGTGCAATACATGCTGTGCAGTCTCTGTGGTGTAAATAGTTTTTGTTAGCAGCGATTTGTCGACTCCAGTGCTCGCGCAGTCTTCCCACCCACGCACCCACAATTTGGTTTGTAAAACCCTTGATGTGGCAATTGTGATGCTGTCTGGCGTTGGCCTGTGCATCGCTGCGGCCGCACTAGCGCGCGCAGGCTCGCGCGTTGAGCGGCCAGCTAGCCTGACATGACCGACACGGACGAGGTGTCACTGGCCGTTGGGCATTCTCCAGCGCGTCTCGTTGGCCGCGTTGGCGCGCGGGCACTTCACTGCGAGTCGGTGAGTTGGGCGGGCGCAGTAGCATGGCGACGTCGGCATCTGTAGACACGGTGATGATACTTGCGATACTGTGTACAATGATACGACGACGGCGCCGCGCCGATACTAATCGCGCCGATGACGATGATAATGTCCTTGCGTCGGTGATGATGGTTTTGGACGGAGTTCGCCATGCGCGCGCGGCCAGCGCGCGCGAGTGGCCCGCATGGTGGTATTTGACAGGAAGCGCCCCCCCCCCCTTCCCCAGCACGCGCGCACGGGCGTTCGAACGATTTTGACATGCCCGCAAGAGGCCCGTTCGGTCGCATGTGGTGGACGTTCAGAACCGATGGTTTTCTTTAGAATTCGCAAGGGCGCGCGCGCAGACATGTTGTCCAAAACTGATGTTGTAGCACCGTTTATATTCGAGACGCATGTTTCTGAAAACCGGACGATACCCGGATTTTCAAGGAGCTCAGCACATGTGGCGGCGAGCGCGTGTAGTTTTCCATTTCATAGTTGTAACATTGGCTTTTGGACAGCTGGTGAGGTTCGATCGGCGAGTGCGCGCGCATTGCATTTTTTGCGATGGTTGGTGACGGGGGGTCCGAACCTGGCCTGGCTGGGATGGTACGAACTCATGTTTCGTATGGTCGTCCAGGCTGGGTCGTATATGAATTGCTGAAGTTTCGCGTTTCCCCATCAGCCCACCCCTACCGTCTTGTCCCACAAGGCTGCCGACATGGGCCTTACTCTGTCCATCTTCCAGCGACTACACGGCTCGCTCGGGTACCAACCGGGAAACCACGGGAGCGCATGCATCACCTTGGCCCTTCTCTACCGCATGCATCCGTTCTTCATGTTCTTCTTTTCCAAAACATAGTACAAGTATGAACTCCTCATTGAACTCTTCAACCCCCTCGCAAATTGTCCCTCGGTGCCGCGCCTACGCTGGCCCTAAGTGACAGACCTTGACCCTGAGCGGCTTGAACCCTTTGCGGGACTACACAGGATCAGCGCCGAATACGTAAGGAAGGATTGCGACGGGCTGCACCCCCGCGTACAAAACACGAACTCGGAAGACGCCCGCCGTGCTCTACTGGTGGACAACAGGTTTTACGAACTGACGACACACTTCGCCGAGGGGTACGTTAACATCCGTGAAGCCGCTGTCACCGTTGATCTCGTGCGGGCGCTGCTACCAGAGCTGGACAGGGACCTTTCCGTCAAGGTCATTGTCCCGTACAGGCTGCGGAAGGGAATTCTCAAGGACGGTTGGCCGCTCACCCCCCAAGCCCTTCAAATCGCGATGAACGCCGACAAGTATTCCGACGTTCCCGACCCCAACCCTCGGCCACCCCTTAACCCCCATTCCCACCGCGGCGTGTCGCTTCACCCGGCGCCCCCGGTCGCCGCCGTCTCGACGGCGCCGACGCCCCCCCCTCTGCTGCCATCCCGCCGCGGAGCCGTTCCTTCGCTGCCTCTGTCCAGACATCCACGCGCGCCGACACGGCGCCCAACCCCTGTGACCCAGACTACATCCCTGATAGGCAAGGTCGGGGGAT